CAGCACCGGTCAATCTAGTACACGATCACTCGTGGATTGGGTGTGTGTCCTATCTTTAGGGGTTTTAGAAAAATAAAAAAAAAAACACGTGGCAGCAGAAGACCACCCGGTGTTTTTCACCGGGTGTAGCATCGAAGGAACCCTAACACACTCCATTTTCATATCTTGATTCTTCATTTTTTAATTTTCTTTTTATTATTATTTAAATACTTCAAAAATATTTTTTTTGTTAATATACAATATACTGGAGTCTTCTTCATACGAATACAAAGTAAGAATGTACATTTAGATTACTGTTCGAGAGCGTGATTTACCAAATGCAATATCTACGAATGCAAATTTATTTTTTGTAAAAGAAATATATATACATTTGTTTTACTGTACGAGAGCGTGATTTCAATTGATATACAAAAAAAAAAACCTATTTTTTCTGTTCTTCTTATTTTATCACAAAAAAATCCTAACACAATTTCGGGTGCGCTGATTCAAGCCCACCCCTGTAAAAAAAATTGATGATACAATATGAAAGGGTCACCCACGCAGCCCCTTCTCAAAAGAATTATTCTCATTTCATCTCTTGAATATTCAAAATTTCAATACATACATCTGGCTAATTATAATATCATATATTATATACATACACACACAAACATTATATATATATATATATATATATTCAACGATCATAACCATTTGACTTTGACTTTTTCCTCCAAACCCTTTATATACTCCACGTACATTTTCCATTCCTCCAAAAAAAAAAAACCACAACCATTATAGATTTCCTGCACACTTTCCTCATTTCCTTTTTGAAAAAACAATTCTTTGATGGGAAATTACGTATCATGCACCTTATCGGGGCCGGCGGGCAAGGGCTCGAGCAGGGGCACAAAGGTCATTTTCCCATCCGGCGAAGTCCGGCGAGTTCACGAGCCCACGAAAGCCGCGGAGCTCATGCTTGAGACCCCGGGTTCTTTCCTCGTCAACACCAAGTCTCTGCAGATCGGAAGAAGATTCGCCGCCCTGAGCGCCGACGAAGACCTCGAAATCGGCAACGTTTACGTGTTTTTCCCGATGAACCGCCTGAACTCGGCGGTGACGGCCACGGACATGGGTGTTTTGTTCTTGGCGGCCAAAAGGGCGGCCTCCGTCGGACGCGTGAGGGTCTCGCCGGAGAGCGGCGGCGGCGGGGAGGCGGAGGTGGTGCTGCCGAAGCTGAACTTGGATGATATTGAAGAGTTTTCGACGCCGGATTTCAAGCATAGATTGTCTATGTGCAGGTCTAAGAAACCATTGCTAGAGACTATAGTTGAAGAGCCAGTCTCTCTCAGATAATTATTAAAATTTAATTTGGTGATTTATTTATTTTTTTTAATTTTTATTTTTTTAAGTTTGCTCTTTCAAAGTTTAAGCAAAGAGAGACTATATATATATTGTTTGGCTTATTTTTATTCTATTATTTAATGTGATGGTGTAGATAATTAAAGAAAAAACAGGGTTAAAAGATTTGTATAGAAAACAGGGTTAGAAATATTTGTTTGTGTTTGGATAAATGAATGGATTATTTGTTTAGATTGTGGTTTATGCATGATAAGTTATTTTGTTTAATCATGCTATGTCAAATGTTTGGAAAGTATTTTTTTTACTAAATTTTAAAATTATGGGCTTGCGGCAATCAGGCGATGTGAGCCGAATTTTGATTATATTGTCTCAAACCGAAAAATCATGATTTAATGATTAAATGCACAAACTCACGTACCATCGGACTTTTTCAATCAAGGGATTATCAAATCAATGGATTGTGATAAAATTAACTATTTTTTTTTAAATATTTAATTTTAATGATAGTATAAAAATTATTCTTTTTATGAAAATATTTAAAACATTTCTAATGCCTTTGTATAATTATATTTAAAACTTTTAGTAGAATTAGTTTGCAAAAATGTTCAATAGATGATTGAAGTTCGATCCCTTACTAATATTTTGTCAACTATAAGCTTAGCCAAACAGGCTCTAAATTTAATAATTATTTGAATTGCTTATCTAACCCGACTTAATATTCGGGTTGAGCGATAACGAGCTCCAATTCGACTTATAAACCTTTTGTGCTTAATATAATGGCTCAATGATACTCAACAAAGCTCACAAATAACTAGCTAGGCTGTACATTCAAATAAAATTTACTCGACCCATCGAACTTGGGGTAAACTCGGCTCAATTGGCAAACGTTATTATAATTAGGTCATTAAATGAAGGTCCATACTATTTAAGTTTTGTAGTTCAAAACAACAACAAAAAATAAAATCAAGATTGACAAGATATACATCATACTAGGATTAATTTGATGTAATTTGAAACTACACGCCACTCACCAAAAAAAGTAAGGGCAAATTACGAAAACTTGTAACCCTAGATTAAATTACAAAAATTTACATCAACTAACTATCTGTAATTACCAAAATTATCTTGACCTTTGTTTTTGTCATACACCGACTTTCTTACTGTGTGATTTTTTTACGGAATCCTTATTCTATGGAATATCCTCCAATAAATACTTATTCTATGTACATTTTGTTCTACGGAATCCTTGCAAACGTGACATTTTTTTTCTACTTTTTACAGAAAAAAATCACCCTCAAGGGGTAATGGTAATATTAAAAAAATATAAATGTGTTATTTAAGAAGAATAAAAATTCCGTGTAAAGGCCCCGTTAGGGTAATTTTGTCGTTCAAAAGTAGCATACAAAAAATGTCACGCATGTATGAGCAGAATCAACAATTTTTGTATAATTAATATTCCCTAAGATTGGGTTTTTTTTTTCTTAATTTATCCCAAGTTTAGGGTGTTTTTTCGTAATTAATCCAAAAATTAATGAACACAAAAGAAATGTCGAATTAAAAAGATAAAGCTATGTGGAATTACCAAATACACCCTCGTCATCCGACGTGGTGACACGCTGAAAACGTAGTACATCTGATTTCTTCGCACCCCAGTCTCTGTCAGCTACCCCATTACTCTTTCTCAGTCCTCAAACCCCCCATTTTCCCCAAACTCATCTTTCTAGGGTTTCTCTTTCTCTCTCTACACTTGTCTCCGGTTGAAAATGGCGGGAATCAGGTTACCGGCGGAGGATTCCGACGTTTCGCAGGTCACGCGGCAGGTGGCCGCCGTGGATCTGATCTCCGATGATGATCGCTCCATCGCCGCAGACTCCTGGTCCATCAAGAGCGACTACGGCAGCACTCTTGACGACGAGCAGCGTCAAGCTGACGCTTCCGAAGCCCTATCTTCCGCCGTGTACCGTGCCGCCTCTGACTACAGGTCAGTGATCACCTCTCTCGTTTCGGTTGAGATGTACAGTTGCAGCTTTTTGTTCCCTTTCGTGATCAATTGGCTCCATTTTCAGCGAAGTGGCTTCGTTTTTCTTCCTGCATTATGTATATTTTCGTTTTTCTTATTTTCTCTAATTTCCCCCCCCCCCCCTATTGTCTTGTGAATAAACGAGTTTATCGTTAGGTTTTGATACTAATCTGGCGGAATGCTAATCAGGATCACTTGTACAGAATTATAGTTGTTAATTTGATTTGGAGAAGATAATTAATAAAATTTACCAGGAATCAGATGTGTGGTATGGGAAGTCTTATTTATGTAGTGTAGAGACCTGAATTTTAATGTATGCTGAGCAGTTCTGACAAAGAGGAGCCAGATGCTGATACAGTTTCGTCAATGTTGGGCTTCCAGAGCTATTGGGATGCTGCATATGCAGACGAATTGACAAATTTCCGGGAACACGGCCATACTGGGGAAGTTTGGTAAGTCTAACATAAATAAAGTATGTACCGACACAAATAAATATTTCTCAACATTAATAAAACATGATTTGTTGGTTTTTCTTCACGATTGGATTAGTCCTTGGTTGTTCTTGTTCCCTGTTTGTGTTAAGGTTCAGTCTTCCTCAAATTTCAGAAGTTCTCTTGTTATTTGAATAGAAGAGGATATTTAGCGGAGGGCTGAAAATGGCTTGGCTTTACTTAGGCTTCACTTGTTTTGGTGATAAAGCAATGGAGTGTCTAGCCCAAGACTGAATACTAGCCTAATTCTTATAAAAATGTAAAATCATTGAACAATTTTAATGATTTAAGGATTTTACCTTTGATTATTTTGTTTGGATTAGGATTCTACTAGGATTTAACTAGGTAGTGTGTGGTAAAATTGTAAAATCCTAGGATTTCAGGAACTGAGATTCAAGATTCATTTTTTATTGTCCAAAATTTCATGTTAAGTCAGTCAAGAAGCAACTTATATACTGTTATAGAGATACACATCCCAAAAAATAGAGCACTTAAAACAAGCAATTAGGATGAAGATAATAGAATGGAAATACATTGCGTTGAACTTGTCTCATCTTTTCTTCTTGCTGCCTGCGTGGGACAAATGTTCGCCTTAAATAAGAAGGCCAGAGTTAAACTTTATTTTACAACACTTGCCTATTTTGTAGGTTTGGATCAAATGTGATGGAAAATGTTGCCACATGGACCAAAAATTTATGCCTTGAAATTTCTCAGCATCACTCGCCAGGCACAAATTGTTTGCCTGCTGGCCAGCCTGAAAAAGACCTCTCTGGCTGGAGTGTTCTCGATGTGGGGACCGGTAATGGTTTGCTACTTCAGGAGCTCAGTAAGCAAGGGTATACACTCCAGATACTTCCAGTTGTTGCATCATCTCTCTTTTGCATTATTTCAATTATATCAGTTCTTTTTATTAACTACACATGGATATTAGAAAATACAGTTTTGTTCAACAAAATTAGTGATATTTACCCCTTGGACATCACAATCTGTTTTTCTGAGGAAACTAGTTCATGAGCTTGGATACTTAAGCAGTTACGCCTCCATTTGAAATAACAATTTTGCTATAAGTTCATTTCTTTGAGGTAGTGGTTTGGAGACTCTGAATTCTGCTACCAGAACTGCGTCAATAACCTTGTGTTTTTGCAAAATGTTCAGTAAATTGAATGTTGCCTCTTCTAAAATCAAATTCTTGGAATAGTGTTCATTAGCCACTAAGAAATGAAATGTTCATGTGTTTTTGTTTTTTTTTTTTTCTTTTCTAAACATTGTTCCTGATGCACATAAAGTGTGGTTCTACATACACTGAAAATGTTGAATGATGATATCATATTTTTGGAATTGCCACTGGCTGAATTTCCAGAAGTTTGAACCTGACTTCTTACTGCTTGTGGTGTTTGTGCATATAGATTCTCAGACCTCACTGGAAGTGATTACAGTGAAGGAGCTATTGACCTAGCTCGAAAACTTGCTGATCGTGATGGATTCTCTAATATTAAGTTCCTTGTACGTTTCCTAATTCAGTATGTCCATGTTCTTTTCTGCTGGTGCGATTGATATTTGTTGATTATTATACTTGTATCACAATATCAGAGGAGTGAAGTACTTGTTTGCCGATGTGGTTTGTCCCTTTTCAGCTACTGTCAGTTTACTTATGGAGATTTATGTTATGCATAGTTAATACTGAAAGTTTATTGGGAACTACATTGTTCGACCACAATAAAGATGCCAAATTGACATGACGGAAATCTTTATCGTTTACCTTAACACTTGTCATTCAGGCTTAGAATTCTTTACATTGGATAAGCCATACAAATTACAAATTCTTGTATATGGAATATTATCATCTTTTAGGATCTTAATGATCAGTTATCATCAAGAACCAGAATATCTTTTATCGGATATGTTCATTTGCGTCATTTACCTTCTCTAACACTTACCATACAGACTTTGTATTCTTCAGTGGATTTAATTTTTATACTAAGAATCTCTGTTTATGAGGAAGATTATAATCAATTGCACCTGATGATCCATTACCCCCTAAGAGAATAATAATAAAAGAAGTACGGGCTAGTACGTAGTCACTAAGTTCCTGACTTTATGTGTGTGTGTATAATCGGTTTGTATGACAATGTAAATATAGTGCAAATTTGATAGTGAATTCTCAATTTGACTTATCTAACACTAATGAGGAACGAGATATTCTTATCTGAGCACGGATATATGATTACAGACTACCCATATTTTAGTGTTAAGGAGCAGCATGCAATATAAGTTCACATGTTAGTAGTTTATCAGTATCTCGTACCATTCCAGTCCTCCCAGGGACTAAGTTGCAAGCTCATTACCCTCTCTCTTTAGTAGATGTCTACTCAACAATTCCTGCATAAATGCAAATACTTTTTACCCCTTGTTATTTTTTTTATGATTTTGATCAAATTTTAGATCAACTTTTTGTCTAAGTTGACCTTTTTCTGCTGGACCGAATTTCATTTTCCAGGTTGATGATGCTCTCGACACAAAACTGGACAGGAAGTTTCAGCTTGTGACAGATAAGGGGACACTAGATGCAATCGGTCTGCATCCCGATGGTCCTATCAAAAGGTAAAACCTATAGCATCTTATATTCTCGGGGCACTCGTCATGTGGTGCATTTTGTTACATAGGGTTGTAATAGTACCATGCAGTTAAAATATCCTTTCTGGCTCTAAATTAGCAAGTTAAATGTTTTTTAGCTTGTACCTACTCCCTAGAGCCGACTGAACCTATAGAATTGCCATGTTCAAGTGTTTTGACTTGCCAATGAATCGACACGACCTTTTGATAATACGCATCTTTTGTTTCAGGATAATGTACTGGGACTCCATTTCAGGGCTTGTGGCTTCTGGTGGATTACTGGTGAGCATCTGTACTTGGTTTAAATTCTTTTATGTGATTTTCTTCGTACCATTGTTCTAATCGAGGTGTCATTGGTACATCCAAATTGGCTTTTAGAATTTCTTCCCATTTGAAACTTTGCATTCTATTTCCGTGTTATTGTCTATAAAATGCATTATTTTATTGTCTTTAATCCATGTATTTTCTTATTGGCGTACTTAAGGTTATTACATCATGCAATAGTACAAAGGATGAACTTATACAAGAGGTCGAGTCTTTCAATCAAAGGAGAAAAAGTTCCTCTCAAGAACAAGAGAATGCCGTTGACCAAGATACTGGGGGCAGAGATACCACATTCCAGTACATTGACCACATTCGCTCGTATCCAACTCTTATGTTTGGAGGATCAGTTGGGTCCCGTGTTGCCACAGTGGCATTTTTAAGAAACTGATTTTTATATCAGATATTGTGTTTTTGTTTTCTTTCTAAAAGTCTAGTGTGTCATTCTTGGGAGTTTATATCAACTTACGTCTGGAATTGATTTCGGTGAATTGACACAACTTGTTCGTTTTGTTTAGTAGAGACAAATGGACATGTTTCTGTGTATATTCAACGTGGTCTTTGGTGTGCCTAGATTGGCTGTACTTGATTTTGTTTTGGCTAACTAATCGCAAAAAATAAAGTTACAGAATATGAAACACGATGCCAATGTTTTGGTAACGTATTCAAATTCATTGACCAGAATGAAATTATGTTTGTTGAGTTCGGTGAAGTTATTGGTTAATTAGATGAAGTGAGAGTGAGATAATAACACAGCAAAGAGTAAGCTGCAACTGAGAGAAGTGAGCCCCAAAGTGACACAACACATGCCCACAAGTTGAAGAAACCGAAGCAATTCTTCGTCTTGTTTCGTTTTGAAACTCGGCTGAATATAGTATCCCCTGAATATAAGACCATAGAACATTTAAAATTAAGATTATAAAATATAACTATTTAATTTTTTGAATAGAGGTAAAATCGATACATTGCGAACCTAAAATAATGGAAAGAATGTAATTTAATAAATATAAATAAAATAAATGGCAAAGTAAAAAAAATGATTCTATATTTACAAGGGGCAATATGATGATTTGAGTTGGATATACTCCTATATTTACTATTTACAAATGTAGCATACAGAATAAATCAAACTACTTTGGCAGTTAGCACAACTATTTTTCCCCATGTGTTAAACATGGCATTGCACAATGGGCTGGAAAATTACGATTACAGAACTTGAATTGCGTGTGCTCCTCGCAATTCGTTCTCTCCTCCGGATGTAGCAGGCGAGGAAACGGAAAAATCCTAACACCAAAAAATCAAGATTATTTAGAAAAAGGAAAAGGAAAAAAAAACGCAACGCAGAAAAGCCATATTTAACTTATATTTTTACCTGTCGGCTTCGCCTATTGCTCTGTATAGCTTTTAATGCTAAAACCATGATATAGACCGACAGAAGGATTCCGATTGTTCGCAATATCAGTAACTGCAAAATAAATTAAATATTTTTATTTACTCTGCTAAAAGAAAATGGGCCAATATAGGAAAAGAATTAAGCGGAGCAAAACTCACTATAACCAAGGAAACGGAGTATTCACCAGCCCCGTACATCAAGAACGGTAGGGTATGATGTAATAGTAGAAGAATAAAAAACTGTATTTAGAAAAACAAAAAAAAAAAAAATATTAGCTGCTTTAAATAAAACGGTATCATTTTTTAATCGAGAAAAAGAGAGAGAGATATACAATCATGGCAATTATTCGACAGCATATCAAGCTTTTTGAAGTGAGTAATGGATAGTGGACAAAGTTCGGATCCCGAAAATTCCCGTTAGTAGAGTCCGTTGATGCAATTTGAGGATAATACAAATCTCTTCTAGATATCTCCCAATTTCCCCTGAAACGTCACATTGAATTTCGACATTCCAATCAATGAAAACGATTAAATATAGTTCACAATTAAAAAGATTGAAAAGGAATTAAGTTGTAAGACCTGAAATTCATCGGAATCCCACCATAATGAAAAAGAGGAGGCGGTGCTGTATAACTTGGCTTGAAAAGCTGCATCGTCACAATTAATAAAATCGCTTCGATAAAAACGGTAAATCGCAGTGCACTATAAAATAAATAGAAATTGAGACGAGTTTCAATTTGAAGGCCACAAGTTTGGACTTTAGGAAGCATACCTGATGGCAAATCTCACACATAATATCACCTTTCTCATTGCACCATCTTTGCACGCACTTACGATGAGCATACTGCAAAAACAAAATTATAAAAAAAAAAAAAAAAAAAAATTCTCAACACATTTATTCATATTTTTCAGGAAATGTGGATAATAAAAATGAAGACGAACTAAAACAAGATTTTTCAAGTGCAAAGTTTTTTTCAGATTTAACCTTTAAAGTGCCACGACAAAAACAGGGAGCCTCCATGTTCGATTCTTCATCTTCGTCGTGACAAATTCTACATTCTCCCAGTTTTTGCGGTGCCAAGTTTACATTGAAATTTATCCCATCTGAGGAAAAATTAGTTGCCACGTGTTCACAAACAGAGGGTGAGGCATCCGCATTTTCTTGCAACCGGTTTTTATTCTGGATAGCGGTTTCTAGGGTTGATTCAGTAATGAGCCGATCCACGATTATTACGAAATGATCCCCCATTCTTGAAAAATACACAAGCCTCTTCAGAATCGTTTAATTCGTGCCTTGTGGCACAGTCTCGTATTAAATTGTACCTGCAAAGTAATATTTTAGTTTAGCTTAAAAAAAAAATAACCGCTATTTAAACGATCAGTTGATCATTTCGTAACAAATTGAAGGTAGATCGAAACTAGCCAATATTTACGAACGGAATTATCGATGAACCGGATCTTATATACGAAAAACAAGGCATAATCGTTTCGAAGCAGAATCAAACTTCATCAAATTACTCAGTAAATTAAATTTTCAACGGTTTCTAGTAGGTGAAAAGGGGAAAATACAAACCCTAGCAAATAAACTCAAAAAAAAATAAAAATAAAAAATAAAATAAAATCAGAACTCCATAAATGAAGAACCATGGTTAGTGATAAACAATACAACTCATGATATACACATAACTGAAAGAAATATAAATAATAAGAGAAGAAAAGCTTACAGGAAAGGTGATGGGGGTTTTTTCCAATTTCCGCAGAGCAGAACGAACCCTAATTCAACTTTGGGGTTTGCTTTTTATATGCTGAGATTTTTTGCCATTTGCTGAGAAAATTCATCGACCACGATCCACTCCCATGTCGCATATACGTACATCTGCTACACACACACACACACACACACACTCTGTGTGTATCACATTTTCGACTCCCACTTTCTCCACGCGCCCACAATCAAACGTGGTGCACAAATGGCACGATTTTCTCCCCACTCGCGAACACTTTTCAGGTTTTGCCGTCAGAATTTCCTGCCAAACAAATCCTAAGTCCGTATACTTATCTTCTTTAATGATTTTAACATTAATTAAACAGCTTTTGCTTTTAACTTATGATGATTTTTTATTTTTTTTTATTTACCTAAGGTTGTGTTTGGTAACTAGCAATTAATTAATATTGATATAAAATATACTTACACTTTGCCCGGGGCAATTTTTTTTTTGGGGTTGTTTTGTTTTGGAGTTTTTAAAATGGGGTTATTTTTGAAGTAGTAATTAAATTGGTGTTGGCCGCCACCGGGAACGGCGGCATCGGACGGAGACGCCACCAGAGCACCGGGAGGAGACGCCGCCACCAGTGGCGTCTTCTACTTTTTAAATTATTATTTTAATATTTTAATATTTTAATATTTTAATATTTTTTAATATTTTATTATTTTATTATTTTAATATTTTATTATTTTAATATTTTCTTATTTTTTAGTATTTTTATTATTTCTTAATATTTTAATATTTTCTGATTTTTTTAATATTTTCTGATTTTTAATTTTTTTTTTACAAATAAAACAATTCTAACTACATTTTATTAAATTTATTACATTTTATCAATTAGTGTTAAATTAATCAGTGCATATATTTATCTAATCAACACAAAAAAATATGTAGACAAAAACAAAAGGAGTTTCTAGAAAATAAAAGAGTTATATAAAATAAATAGGTCCAATAAAAGAGTTATATAAAATAAATAGGTCCAAAATAGCTAGAGAATCGTAGATAGACCAACTAAATCTGTAAATATGGGTACCTGAGATGTAGACGCACCGAACATATCCATAAATCCCTGTGTAGTAGAACTATTTATTTTATATAACTCTTTTATTTCTAGAAACTCCTTTTGTTTTTGTCTACATATTTTTTTGTGTTGATTAGATAAATATATGCACCGATTAATTTAACACTAATTGATAAAATGTAATAAATCTAATTGATAAAATGTAATAAATTTAATAAAATGTAGTTAGAATTGTTTTATTTGTAAAAAAAAAATTAAAAATCAGAAAATATTAAAATATTAAAAAATAATAAAAATATTAAAAAATAAGAAAATATTAAAATAATAAAATATTAAAAAATATTAAAATATTAAAATAATAAAATATTAAAAAATATTAAAATATTAAAATATTAAAATATTAAAATATTAAAATATTAAAATATTAAATATTAAAATAATAATTAAAAAAGTAGAAGACGCCACTGGTGGCGGCGTCTCCTGGCGTCGCCGTCCGATGCCGCCGTTCCCAGTGGCGGCCAACACCAATTTAATTACTACTTCAAAAATAACCCCATTTTAAAAACTCCAAAACAAAACAACCCCAAAAAAAAAATTGCCCCCACTTTGCCCAATGGTTGATGATTAAGTTTCGAGCCCACAAAAAAAAAAAAAAGTATTATTATTATTTTCTCCTCTTCTAATTTTGTAATCATAAAAAGGTTCAAAATTTAAACCAAACTGACTCCGTACAATCTTCTCAAGATCAATCTCTTATTTTTCAATCATATCTCATCTCTATCTATATTTACACCTTATTTTTACTCTATTTTTTTTTTTCTTATTAGTTGCTTCATTAGCATCATTAAATTAAGTTATGATATGACAATTAACACGGTGATGTTTGAAATAGCCTTTGGTTGCACTAAATTTTCAAGTATTTTAAATTGGACTTTTGTGTGATTTGATACGATAAATGCGTTAATATGTTGTTTAATTGACTATGTAGGAGAAGAAAGAAAGTTCGAGATTGTAGAAGGTAAGGAGATGAAATGACACAAAAAATAAACAAGAAAAACGGACAAAAATCCGCGGCAAGTTCTAGAACGAGTCTTTGTACGAAAAATTATGAGAGAATTTGGAGCAAGTATCGTAGATTGATCATGCATGTTAGAATTACAATTAATCGTGAAAATTGTTTATAATTAATTTAGTATTCCGAGTCAATAGATTAATCCATTGACTAGATCCTAGATTTTTCCCAATTTGACCCATAAAAATATCATTCCCCAATAGTCAAATCAGAAAAAAAAGTTAATAGTCTATGAAAAAGTATAGGAAATGAAATCAAGCAATTAAACAACATTATAACAGAGTAGGACAAACCTCCCATGATTTGGGATTATTCTTTCTTCCCAAATAAATTAGAATAGTCACATAATTTATAATTAAACTATAAATAATTCCCAATATACATCTTAAGACAAGACGACGACACAAAAAACCAACCTCAAACATAAGCAAACAAGATCTTGAAGTAAATAATAACATACAATGCCAAAGAGAAGACAGCAAATATATGCTGCCAAAACAGCAAAGCCGAAGCCTCGCTAACCGCGTACCCCCTCAGCCTAGCGACCGCCCCCAACAGAATCGCACTCGGCGTGGTGTACTGCAAGAGAAGCACGAACCGGTACATCTGGTCACCCTGTATCAAGAATCCGAATTTATCCGCCAAACAAACAACCCCTAATCCGAACAACGGCAGCACCAAAAGCCTCGCCACAATCACACCGATCGTTGTTCTCATTCCGAGCCTCGATTCGTTCGGCCCCTCTGCGAGCATTCCTCCAAGAACAAGCATAACCGAAGGCACCATAGCTCCCGCCAAAATCTCCAAGCTGTCGGTTATAAACGAGAGCGGCGCATCGTCGCCGTAAACCATTGATTTGATTGGAGGAACCATACCTACAAAGAAAGCCAATAGTGTAGCGAACATTGGCGGTTGGAGAATGTGAAGAATCGGAGTTTTTTCCGCCACGATTCTTATTCTCCTCACCATTCTTGGCTCCGCCAAACACCTAATCGATTTCGGGCTGCTCGGGTTATTGTGATCCGGCGCACCTCCTTCTTCTAATGAATCTGGATCGGGAATGGATACGTTAGATGCAGTAGCGAAAACCCTAGCGATCAACGGTGTTTTGCAATGCTCGGTTTCTCTATCTTCCATTCCAGGCCACTCCGCTTCGACTAGAAGAGGTCTACTCAGGTCGTTCGTAGGGACTTGTTCGGTAATTTCGGTGCCATCTTCGACTACATCGTAGTACTCCATCGGAGGCTCCATCATGTGGTAAACGAGGGTGTAAACAAGAAGCACCGCCACACATTGGCCGAAGGAAACATAAGCCGTACCGGTCGTGTGGCAATTCGGGCCGAACGGGTTTTCCGAGTTGTGGCAAATGGAACCAACTATGGCGAGGGGGAGGTTTCCGGTATTTCCGAATGCAGTCATGATGATCGTGAACCGGACGTACTCGGGCGGGGTCCGGCAGATTTTGGCGACTACGAACCCTAGCAGGCAACCGATGGCGGTGCTGAGAAGGACGTTGACCGGTATGAACCACCACCGGACGAAATTATCGAGGGTTATGGTTTCTCCGAGGTGGATGAATATCATGCAGGGTAAGAATAGGGCGAATACGAGCTTGCTTAGAAGCTTGAAAGTGGCGCTGGGTACAAGATGGGTTTTCGGGTGGGCGAGGATTAAACCGACCAGAGTGAGGGAGATGAGTTTCAGTAATGGCAGAACGGAGAGGATTAGTTCTTCTCTTGTGGAACGCACGTTGTTGTTTTGGTTTTGGTTTTGGATAATCAGCGACTCCATTGGAGGAAATTGCGGAAACCCTAATTAAAGATTGGAGCTTTAGACCGTGGTTTTTTTTTTTTTGGGGTTTCTACGATTCAGATACTAAGGAGTTTGATTGAATGTTTGAATACGTGAAACTGATGGGATAAAAGGGGTAATTTAGAGGTGTAGGGGAATCAATTGAAGGTGAAATTGAAACAGAGTACAGAAAAAAAGTTTAAATTTGTTTGCAGAGCAGAAATTGCAGAGATGAAAAATCGGAGAAGAAAGAGAATTGCAGGGTTGATTGGAGCTGTAATTTGTTGATAATACAGCGAACAAATTGAAGACGGTGCGTTAATTATATGTATAGATAGATATATATATATAGAGAGAGAGTAGAGAGAGAGTAGAGAGAGAAAGTTACTTACAATAGGAATAGGGAAGTTGCCACAGAGTTCAGATTGGAGAAGGAGGAAGAGAGAGAGAGAATGATGAATTGATATGCCAATTAGAATCTTGGCAAATTACAGCCAGCCCCTGAGCTATGGTCAAATTACGAAAACCCCTTCCTATTTGGGTAATTACAGCCACCCCTCAACTATGTATTTATCTTACGAAAAGACCCCTCAAGAGGTAAATTTATGGATGTTAATTCAGTAAAACCGAACCAAAATTTCAGTACGCCAACATTTCATACCGTTTACTGAACCAAATATACGATTTGTTTCGGTAAATAATCGAATTACATAAATTTTACGTAAAAATATTTTAAAAGATGGGGTGACTGTAATTACCCAAAAAAGATGGGTTTTTTCATAATTTGACCATACCTCAGAGGTGGCCGTAATTTGCCCTAGAATCTTTTCGACCACCTAACACTACAGTCCAATATTTCTGTTTTGTTTATTTATGTATTTATTATTTATTAATTGATGAAAGTAAATAAAAAGCAGAGTTTGATACCGACACGGCATCTGTCTCTCTCTTGAGGCTTCAATTATTAAATAAAATTTTCAAGATTCACTCTCAATATTTTATTTTTTATTTTTTAAATAATGTATATTTCGATCACTGGTGTTATAGGAAAAAAATATTTATTTTCTTATCATTTTGAATAATATTTTTACATCTGAAATAAAATTGAATCAACCATGTATCGATTTGTATTGTATAATGTAGTACTTTATATTATATAATTTATAGTAAAAATACACTAAATAAGTCAAATTTGTATGTATATCTAAACGTACAAATCAGTCATTACTTTGAAGAAAAAATTGATAAAAACTAAAAAGTCTATCACATATAGAATTAATTAATTACCCTTTTTTTCCTAAGACTTAATTAAACCACGGATCATGGCCTATAAGATTTGAGGATTATGGTATTTAAATATTAATTAAGCTTTCAAACGAGAGCTTAATTAAAGACATCATATACGCAAGATTTGCAGGTTTTTCGGTACGTACTTTTGTCTCGAAACTCAAATAGTAATAATTAAGCTCTCGAAATTTTATTAAGAGTATAAAAGTGGCGAAAAACTCTTTATATATTTTATATATCAATCAATATATTATATATACATCCTCCGATTTCACATCTGGTCTAACAATTTATTATGTTACAAGGTGAGATAATTAATACAAATGATGAATATAAGTACTCATATATCATACTTTAAGCACACATAACATAACCCCTAAAAAATATATATATGACCCTAAAAATCAATATCAATACTCACATGACAACCAGCTAACAATCCTCTAGCAACTTTTAGTGCATTAACCATCACCACCGAACTCGAAAAAGGAACGCTCATAGCTAACAACACGAGCGCGCCCAAAGCCAAACTCGGTCTCGTATTCATCAAATACGACTGCAACAACTCCATCGAGTCGCAAACGCCCTCGTGGTAGTGCGTAAATATTTTCTTCTCCCACTCGTTCCAATCCGAAGAGGGGGCCGCCGCCCCTTCGTTATTGTTGTTATTATTGCTCTCCAACATCTTCATTTTCTTGATCCTCATCTTCAAGACAATCATGTTGCTTTCATCAATAATGGATTTTCTCTCATGATCACTTTCTTGATCGCCTTGCTTTGCTTTGACAAAGTTGAACCCATTATTGATTAATCTTCTTTTGTGGTAATAATTAGAGGGATTAATTTTGTAAGAGAATAATCTAGGGTTATTAGATGGGAAGAAAGTAGTTGCAATATCCATGATAACTATATATATTTTTAATTTAACAAGTGGGAAATAATCAAGAAATGAAAGGGTTTTGTGGTATATATATAGAGATGAAAGAAAAAAATGTATGGTAGAGTGGGAATGGGAATACAATTGCTTTGATAGGTTTTTTTTTTCTTTTTTTTTTCTTGAATTTATGGAGTTGCTTTGAAGGAACTTTTTGCATATTATTTTTTTACCCAAAAAGGGGGGAAAAAGGAGGGATGATGAAACCTTAAGGTGCATCAAGGAATTTATTTAATTGCGTGAGGAACTCTAATTCACTATCCATGTTTTCTTATCCAAATGCTATTTTAAGTGGTTATTTATATGCTACACATGGTGAATGTTACATCAGGTTGATTTTGTCGTTAATCTATACATACTAATGAGGGTGGGTGTGTTTGTGTGTATATCCATGGTATAGATCTACTCGGTGTATTTCACTTGGTGTAACATATTATCGAGACTATTTTAAGTGGTGTAATTTTTTCAATTTTACCCCTAATTATCTTTGGTAAATATTTTGGTAATATATATATATATGAACGAAACACATATCCATGAATCAAACGGTGAAAACTGGTTTATGAGATGCTACACTCGGTGAAATACAATGGGTGATTTTGCACCATAACTGTACGTATACATATATAGGTGCGTGTATCATTATGTGTAGACCAATGGTTCAAATCATCCGTTGTATTTCATCAGATGTAGCATCTACGAGACCGTGAAAACTGAAAAAGGGGCTTATATCTATTAATGTTTGTTTGTTTTTTCCTTTTCCTTTTTTAGAATGGCATGGGAGGTTCAAAAGAAGGTCGTCATCCCAACTAATAATGTGGTTGAACACTTGAAGCAACAAACAAAACTCATTACACATTCGATATGCATTAATTAATTAATTAATTAATTGATTAATTAGGTATGCTACTAATTTTACAAGTTTGATTTGCCTTCTCAAGCTTTATTTCAAGTTAATAATTAAAAGTGGGTTTTTTTTTTTAATTGATGTTAATTAGCTATAAATTTCATATTATTCTTTGCTTACTAACATAGATTAATTGTCTTGTGCGTGGAGTAAAAGGAGAGGCATGGACCCTTACCAAAGAAAGTGGAATCGTGGAGACTTAAAATTTGGCCGATATAATTGAGAGTAATGGTGCGATTGATACGGGAATAGGATGCGATTTTCACCGGGTGGCTCTTTTCTTGACATGTGTCCTTTTTTATTTATTTTATAATTATATTTCTAAAACTCATTGGGCCATAACTGAACCCGTAGTGGAAATCTTATTAATTTGGGTGCCTGATTATATTCACCAGGTGTAGCATAGAATTTCCCGATTGATACCGTAAGCTGCGTACTTTCTAATTCGAAAGAGAATATAAAGCATGATATTATGGTTTAACCGGTTTGCTCTATGTTTTATATGACAACTTTTATCGAGTTATGTTCCACCACGTACATTGATTCGTACACACTATATGTATATGTGTTTGATTGTACGGTTGTTTGTAAATTGTAAGTAAAAAGGGTATCGATTGTATTTCATCAAGTGTAGGTCGTGTATCATATACTAGACCGTATTGGTTCAGACTTTAAATAGAATAAAACAACATAATTCCTTCAAAAAAAAAAAATGAACAAGACTACATAATAATAAATAAAAATATAAATACAAAAATAGTCGACCTAGTTACTACTTTACTAGTCGACTAAAGGTGGACTGTATTTTTCGATAGAGAAAATACAATAACTAGTCGACTATGATTAATCAACTCTTCTCGAATTATTTAGTCGACCATTTATAGGACGAGGTTGATAATAACTACTGCGGATTGATCTTTTTACACACGTGCTATTTCCACTTTCAAAATATCTTATTCCTCCATCAAATTAAATATATTTCTCATTTTGCCCTTTCTTCTTCTTTCACCTATATATTTTTACAAATTTATAAACCATCCACCACTAAACTAATTAAAATATTGGGCAAATTACCAAAACCCCCCTGAGGTAAGCCTAAATAACGAAAATCCCCCTCACGTTCTCGTAATTACGAAAACCCCCCTTGACTAACGGTTGACCGAATTTTTTTAACCGAAAACGTGAAATGTCTATTATATCCTTCTGTTAAATATGTAAAAAATAAAGGGCAAATTACCAAAACCCCCCTAAGGTAAGCCTAAATAACGAAAATCCCCCCTGACATCCCTTTCACTTGATGATTTATTGCTTTTATAAATTTATTTATTACTTTGTAATTTGTATTGATAATTTGATATTATAATTTATTTATTTATTTTTATTTATATATTTTAATTGATTTTTTTTATCCGGAGGAGTATTCATTCGGATTTATGCTTTTAGCTTGAATGATGCATGGTTGTATTTCTTGAATTGTAAAATATTTAATTTTATATATAAAAAAAAATTAAATTTTGAAATCTCATCCATTGATTTTTTTAATCCAATAAAAATACATTGTACATTCATAATGATTGATTATATTTGGGTTTTTAATAAAAATAAATATTTTGCAGACACTTATATATTGCATGAAGAGTATATATTTATGACCCCTCATTAAATAAAATGCTTACAATTACCCCCCTAAGGGTAATTTCGTGTACAAGGGCAAAATTGGTATTATCGGAGGAATATTCTGGAGAATCAAAAAGATTCTATCGAGTCTGACACCGTTAGAGCGATTTGTAAGATATTCTGCATACCTCGGGGGTTTTCGTAATTACGGGAACGTGGGGGGAATTTCCGTTATTCAGACTTACCTCAGGGGGGTTTTGGTAATTTGCCCTTAAAATATTTATAAAAAACCCCCACCATTTTCATTGGAATCTTTACCGCAAAATCTCACTCTCTCCACCTTAAGTAAATAATACTTTCATCCGAGAAAAATATTTTTGAAGGTAAAAAAGAGTATGAATTCACGTTCTTGGAGAAATAAATTAAAAGTGCTTGTATGTAAGGTTCTGAACTTCCTTCAGAATTGGCGAATTTGGCTTAATATAAATTCGTTTCCTAAAAAAATTTATATAATTTGAATGTTATATGATATAAAAGTTTAAATATCTTGTAATAAATTTTTCATTGCAAAAAATAAAAAAAATAAAAAAAAAATAAATAAAATAAAATAGAAATAACTTAGACACATCATGATTAAACGAATATAAGAAATGGTGGTGAATTATAAATGTAAGGAGTATTTATGTTATTTTATATACTTTGGTGATGAATTAAGATACCTTGAAGGTGTAAATAACTCCACTCTTTACCATTGACAAGATTTAGTTCAAACCAAAATATGGAATATATTCGGCATCATTAAGTGGAAAAAAACTAACATGCATACCAAATAAAAACAATTCCAATTTTTTGGAGAGAATTTCCCATCTTAATTACTAGTTACAGAAGTAATTGAAAAAGGATAAATTACAAAAAAACCTTGAACTTAGATTAAATTACAAATACCACCTCCACCTATTCGTAATTACCAAAAAACCTCTGAGGTTTGTTTCCGTCTTACACCAACCCCTTACATTGTGACTCTTCACGGATTTATTTTTTATTTTAGAGAATGAACTTTGCCCAATTTCAGATATTTTCTTTTATTTCTCACCTATTTTACATAAGGTATAATAAACTGTATACATTTTCTGTTAAAAAACTCGATCTACAGTTAATCAAAGGGAGATTTTGGTTATTCGGATATGGGCAGTGGCGTATCTAGAGTGGTCCAAGGGTGTGCTACTGCACACCCTTGATTTTAAAAAAAAATTATTTCCTATATATTTATCACTATATACCTGCAAATGTAAAACCTTGTCAATGCAATGCTGTAGCTTAATTGGTTAAGTGCTCTATAGGATTCGTTCGAGGTCCAGGGTTCGAAACCTGAGAGTCTCAACCTCCTATTATTGTTTCTTTTTTATTTCCCAATTTTCCATTACATACAATATTTAAATTATTTTAAAAAATGTTGAATATGTGGGTATTTTTTAATATTAAAAAAAAATCTCCTAATATAACATATATTTTGCTATTTGTAACTTTAACTTATTTACCATTTCTTTAATATTAAATATAATATAAATTATTCCAAAATTCAATATTTCAATTGTTTTAAAAAATGTTGAATATGTAGGTATTTTTTAATATTTAAAAAAAAAATCTCCTAATATAACATATATTTTGCTACTTGTAACTTTAATTTATTTACCATTTCTTTAATATTAAATATAATATAAATTATTCCAAAATTCTAAATATTGAATATATATATATTTATTATTTCAATTTTTTTTCTATATTTACAACTATGTGGTTTTTTTTTTTTCTTTTTGAAAATTCAAAATCCGCTAATGAAACGTACATTTTGTCACTTGCAACTATAATATGTTTACCATTCGTTTAATATTTTCACCAATTTTATGTCTAAATATTTCTTAAATTTGCTCAAAAATGGTAAAATAATCCCTTTAAATTTAAAAATTTAAAGATTTTTTATTATTTAATGTGTATAGTATTCAAAAAAAAAAATCGGGGGCGCAGCCCCCGAACCCCCGTAAACTATTAGCCAATCATTATATTTTTTACTATATTTAATTTCGAACACCCTTGGCAAAAATCATGGATTCGCCACTGGATATGGGGGTGTTTTTCGTTATTTAGCCTAAGTTCAGGGGGTTTCGTATTTACCCTTAAAAAAATGAAAATCACCAATCACCATATGTTCTCTATATGTTGTGGTGCAATTTGTAAGGTTCCCACAACATCCGGGGCCTCTAAACTATTTATAGAAAGAACAAGGCTGTCTTAACAAGCAAATATAGAAACTTTAGAGGGAGTAAAATGCAATTAACTACTCACTAAGATGGTGACTGGTGAGTTTTATCCAATTTCGTTTATGGTTTTTATTCCTATTCTTCAGCAGATGCAGAATACCAAAATGGCTAGGTTTTCTGTGGGCGGAGACGAAGACGAAAACGAAGAGGAGAGACCCAACGATCGGCGCTCGTCCAAAAAGCCCCGAATCGCCGATCCGGTTTCCGATTCCGGCAAACCCCCCAACGCCGCCGCTGTGTCGACCCCCAATTCCGGCGACCGCGCCAAGGCTTCCACCTCATCTGCTCCTCCGCTTCCGCTAGAGGATCCAATTGAAGAAGACGAAGAATTTGAAGAGGAAAGCGAGGAGGAGGAATCGGATCATCCGCCGTCGGATTCCCCGGCAGCGTCAGAAGAGGAATCAGATGCAGATGAGTGCGAGGTACAAGCCACTGAAGCACGAGTTGACTCGGAGGGGGACACTGGGTCAATTACCGTAACCATAACGGATAAAGACGCCCTGGATTGCCCCATTTGTTTTGACCCCCTCTGCGCCCCCATCTATCAGGTGCCCTCATTTTTTTTCCTGTTTGTTTTCATTATTTCTCGTTCTTTAACAAGTGAATTTCCTGTTTGAATTCATCGATGATTGTTCGATTAAGTGAACTGTAAAAAAAAACAAATTTGATGGTGAGTTTAGAAACAGTTTTAATCTCTGTTTATCCGCTGTTGTTTGGTTACTTAACTCTATGAGTAGTTATCGATATTGAGGTTTCATTAGGATTTATTGCAGTTGTGATAAGAAATTAGTTTAATTTAAGTAGGTACTATTTTCTATAATGATTTTTTAGAGTAAGGGATGGTCTCAATTTCGAAGATTTCTGAAATTTATCCGTTTAATATCATGTTGTGAAAGTAAAGTTTGATTCTTTGAATCTTCTAACCTCTTTTTCACTAGTGTTTTTCTAAAGCTTTTGGATCTTCGAGTTTCGTGTAAGTTCAGGTAAGAATTTATTTGAAGGTCGACCATTGAAGTGTCATAAAAATCCACTCTTGGTGAATTTTGTAACAATATATCGTGGAATTTTTTTCTGTTCAAGAGAACATATACATTCATGAACTTGAGCTATATACATATACATGCAATGCCGAACTATCTCTGCTTGATCTTAATACGTATCCATCTCACGTTTTTAATGCAGTGTGAGAATGGACATATAGCATGCGAATCATGCTGCAACTCAATGCACAAGAAATGTGCAAGTTGCCAATGGCCAATCGGGTACAACCGCTGCAGGGCAATCGAGAGGGTTGTAGAATCAGTGCTCATCAGATGTCGAAATATGCTGCACGGGTGCCCAGCCACATTAAACTACAGCAAGAAACTCGATCACGAGAGGACATGCGTTTATGCTCCTTGTTCATGCCCTCACATTCGCTGCGACTATGTAGGCATGTCTAAGAGCTTGTACGCGCACTTTGCTACACGCCATCCACTAGCCGCCACAAATTTCTGTTTCGACACCGTCTTTACCGTTGAGTTTTATGATAGTAACACAAAGCATGTTTTTCTTCGAGAAAGGAGCAGGGATATACTTTTTATCGTTAATCGTTGTGTTTTGGCCGGTGGGAGTTCTGTCAATGTTGTTCGTGTTGCACCAAGTTCAGCAAAGAGGGAATTCTCGTACAGCCTTACAGCAACTTCAGCTTACGAGGCGGATAGCTCAATCAAACTCAAAACACGCGTAGAATCCATGCCAATATTCAGGCCTGAGGAGCCTGCAACAGCATATCTTCTAGTTCCTAGTGATTTTATGCGAACAAACGGAAAACTCGTGTTGGAAGTTATGATACGGAAGGTACCTTTCCTTGCTAGTTGACATTTCCATTTGTCCCGCTCTTCAAGATTCCTAAGAAAAGATTCTAATTTTGTCGGGGCTTCTCTTGTGTGTAGTTAGTGTAAATGGTGTAGTGTAATCGATGTATATTTATGTTTTGACATCATTTGTCTTCTCAATTTGTAGTAAACCCAAGTGAAAACCTCTGTTTGAATTCGTTGAAATCCCGTATAACTTATTTGGTTCTTTCGGTGTATACGGGCTATCGGAATTGTGATTCTGTCAGGTTACTTTACTTCAGCTGAAGATGGATTTCTTCGATTTATGTCTTGATTCTTGAACTCTGTTTTATTTCTAATATCTTTTCGACGTGCTATATTTTCTACGTGGCTTTGTTTCGACGAGCTATAATATTAATTAAACAAAGTGTTGGAAAAACAAAAAAGAGCTTAACTAAAGCCATGATTTCATGCATGTTTTAGCTGAAATGAAGTCCAATTCAAGATTTGAAAAACAATTTAAAATAAAATAAAATAAACTCAGAAATATAATATGGTGATTAAGAATAGAGAGTCATAGTAGAATGATGGAAGAAGAATCAATTATGAATAAATAATTGAAAAAAAGCACTGAAGGAAAATGAAAGCAAACACTAAAGCACTTTTCACAACAGTACAATGATAAACATATCACATTCAAAAAAAATAAAAAAAATTGATAAACATATCAGCATTAATTTAATCATCAAATCCAAAAGCATTTTTACCCACTAATCATGATTTCAGGGCACATTAGCAGCACACTTTTCTTGGCAATATTATTAATTAATTAATTTGCTTTTTCTGTTCAATATTAAAATATCTCAATACATATATATAGTTTTTTTCTAAATTACAGCCACCCCTGAGGTAAGGTCAAATTACGGAAAAACCCCTTTCAACCACCTCTCAACTATGAATCTTCTTGCACTTCCAACCTTACGGTATTAAATTTAGTGGAATCTTCTAATCTATGTGGTGCATGAGAAACTGCATTTGTGCACAAAACAAGTACAAACTAGAGAACATTCCACGAAATCTAGAAGATTATGTTGAATTTGACACCATAAGGTTTGACGTGTAAAAAATTCATAGTTGAGGAAGATAGTTGTAATTAACCAAATATGAGGGGTTTTTTCATAATTTGACCTTATCTCAGGGAGTTGGTCGTAATTTACCCTATATTTTTTTAAATTTAGACAAACAGCTTGTTAACACTCATAGCATAGTCCCACCATCTTCTCAAACTTGTATAAGTATCAAGAATCCTCTTTCTTTTCTTTTCTGCCTAAGAGGAAACAAAGAAAACAGAAAAAAGAAAATGGGAGCTCTTGACTATTTCTCAAACTTTTGCACTGTCACCAGCACAAGGGGCAAAAGGAAACCAATGCAGGTACTCTCTCTCTCTCTCTCTCTCTCTCTCTCTCTCTCTCTCTCTCTCTCTCTCTCTCTCTCTCTCTCTCTACTGTTTTGCGTATGTTGATATTCTTTGGGGTTTCGGTATTTCTTGTTACAGACGGTTGAGATCAAAGTAAAAATGGACTGTGATGGATGTGAGAGAAGAGTCAAGAATGCTTGCAAAAACATGAAAGGTACATATATCTATATATAACTACATGAGATATATATACATACATACATATATATGTATATATTTGATTGATATAATTTACAGGGGTGAGAAGTGTGGATGTAAACAGAAAGCAACACAGAGTGACGGTGAGTGGATTTGTGGATCCAAACAAGGTGCTAAAGAGAGTGAAGAACACTGGGAAAACAAGAGCTGAATTCTGGCCTTATATACCTTACAACCTCGTACAGTATCCATACGCTTCTCAAGCATACGACAAACGGGCCCCGTCCGGTTTCGTAAGAAACGTCGCTCAGGCGAATTTCCCGTTAATGCCGAATGCAGCCGAGGAAGAGAGAATCACTCACCTATTCAGTGATGATAACCCTAATGCCTGCTCTATTATGTGATTTTTTTTATTTATTTAATCTCATATTAAACTTTGATGTTTAATTACTATTTTATATTATATATTATATTGTTCACTTGTTTAATTAATTTCATGTTGTGGAATGAGTTGTTTTCTTTTTCAGGATTTTTTTCATAATCTGATGAAAATTGCAGGACAACTTTTTTTGGTGTTGTTGCCTGCTTCTTCAGATTACTTGGTTTTTTTTTTTTTTTTTTTTATTATTATTATTATTATATTTTTTTTTTACATATATATTTATTTCCATGTACTTTTGTGTTTTGTGACATCTGTTAATTAAATTGTCAGTGTTTGGTTGATTTTTGGGGTTTATTGTTGGAATATTCAGAAAGTTTGCTCCACTAAAACATTTGAATTCGGAAAGACTAGTGATTCGTAGGACCGAACAGAGAATTACAAGAAATATAGATGACTGAAGAGTAGAAAACAATCATGTGTTATTTTGAATTATTAAAGAAACTTTAGGTTTTTAATATTAGCAAATATTCCCCCAAAACTTAGTTTTTTTAGCACATAGATCCCCTAATGATGAATTCTTAGGGGATAGTTCGTTCAATAATTCAATCAATTTGTTTAGCTTTCCAAAATAATTTCCACACGATTTTAAAATTTTATCTCTCCTCCAAACATTATTTAACTGCTACGGTAAAAAAGAAAAAAAAAAATTCATTGTTGTTGTAAAAGAGAATTCTTCACTGTAAAAAACAAACAAGGATCATTCTATTTTTCAAATTCTTCTTCTAAATTACATTTTCCGAACACCTTTAAACATGATTTGACTGCTACATGTATTTTATTCCTCTCAAATTGTAAACAAATATTACTTTCATTCTCAATTTATTGCCTCAAAACATATTTCCCCAAAATAAAATAAAAATTATCTCAAACTTTTTCAGACGTTGTCTGAGAAATTTATTCCATGTTACACTAATTAATTTTAATTTAACCGGTATTTATCCTAACAATGATGATTTTAAAAGTTTTCATTGGGCTTGGCGTTTAATTTATTGGGTAATTACAAGCACCCCTCAACTATGAAACTTCTTACACGTCCACCCTTGCGGTGCTAAATTTAGTGAAATTTTCTACATTATATGGAATATTCTCAAGTTTGTACCCGTTTTATCCCATCCGAACACCACATTTTGAAGCAAGATGATCAAAAGATGTGTTTTTTGGCTTGTATTTATCAGATTGTGGTGCTTCAAAAAAGCATTTTTACACAAAACAAGTACAAACTAGAGAACATTCCACGAAATCTAGAAGACTATATTGAATTTGATACCATAAGCGTGGATGTGTAAGTAAATTCGTAGTTGAGGAGTAATTGTAATTACCCAAACATAAGTGGTTTTTTCGTAACGTAACATTTTCTCAGGGGTGGTTGTAACCAAATTTATTTTTAAACATTATTTCCTCAAATTAGGGCATTGATCCCAATGTAGTGTAGTTAGCAGCTACACTGATTTGGATGCCACTTCTTTGTCCTAATTCAAATACACCACTCATAGCCACTAGCTAGGTTTGCAATTCAAAATAAACATATCAAAGGCTAGAGCATTTTATTTATCAATAATCTCACTTATTAAATAAACCATAAATTAATTCTCTGTCAAAAGTGTGCTAAATCCTACATCATTATAGGGATTAAAGAAATATAAAAAAGGTAACGTAGACGCGTTGCAGTTTTCAAAAAAGATTATGTCATCAATTCTCTCATGGCACGGGTTTTGAAGATGCTACATCGTATGAAATACATCGGCTGATTTTACATAATTAATCGACAAATAATAACACACATTCATATGTATTTGTACTTAATCTATGAGATGCTACACCCGGTGAAAAACACCACGTGATTTTAAACCGTAGATCTATACAATTAATCACATGCCAAGTACATATACATATGAGTGTGTCTTATCTATGGTTTAAAAATCAGACAGTGTATTTCACCGAATGTAGCATCTACTAAACCATGTCTACTTAGTGGTTATTTGTATAGATCTATAGTACAAAATCATCCAACCCCGGATCCAGAAAAATTACAAGTTCATCCCAAAGTTCCAAGAAACTTTAATATATATATATATATATATATATATATATATATATATATTGTTTTGTGTGTTATTTTGCATTATGATTATTGCAAAATCAACATTCATTGTTGCTAATATAGTTTGCATACACACAACACCACAAGTATGTGTTTGGACGCCATTTTAGACTTTGATCTAAGTTCAAGTTATACACAATTATTTGCTCCTACAATCATTTGTTTCCATGGTGGCAAACCAAAAAAAGAAGAAAAAAAATTACACTAGGAAAAGGATTTAGTATCATATCCTAGGAAGTATTCAACCATGCTGGGAAAAAAATCAAAACCATTTCTCATTTCTACACTCAAACGAACTCATGGCAACATGCAAGTAAACAAGCAAACAACGTCGTGCGCACATAAAAAGGAAGGTTCTAGAAGATCGACTTACAAACAAGTCAACGCTTCTGCGCCTTTCTCCGCCTCGACTCTGCTTTCTGCCATTTCTTCCTCGAAACCACCTTGCTCTTCGGTTTCAACTTCAACTCGGGCGAGAACTTATAATTTGGATCCCTCATTCGAGCCTGAATATCCTTAAAAAACTGCATGTTCAATTTCTTGGGCCCACCTTGCCTAAGCTCCTCGTACTCCGGACCAGAAATAATATTCTCAAACGCTCCGACAAGAATATCCAAATCACTCATAACCTCCCAAACGTTAGTGTACCGCCCATCGGGCCCTTTTTGCAGTTTCTTCAAAGCGTTCTCCACAGCAAGCTTTCGAGCCAGCTTACCAGGTGATAATTCCTCAGGGTCATCTTCGTCTTTTAGTGCTTGCGTGAGTGTTCGATATTTAGGTTTTTCGTCAAACTCGAACAACTCATCAATGTACTGATCGCTTTTCTCGTTCGGAAAGGGCTCGGTGGGCACATCATCTTCGTCATCTCCTTCATCGCCCGTCCAAAGGGTCTTTTCGTCATCGCTGCCCGACCATACACTGCGTAATTCGTCGCTGTCATCAGCGTCGATGCCATCGTTTGCTCGTTTCTTGGCCTTGTTTATGTCTCTCTTGAGCTGGCTGTGATTGTCCCTTTCGTTGTCGGTGTCGTTTTCGCTGCCGGTCCAGAGATGGTCTTCTTCGTCTTCCATTTGCTTGGCCCACTCTTTTCGGAATTCTTTCGGGTTTGGGACTTTGCCTCCGAAAAGATCGTAGCTTGGGGGCCTGCTTCGGGCGTATGTGCGAGAAGCTGAAATGGGAGAAAAAAGCATTGAAGTTTTCTGTGAGTAATTAAAACAAACAGGTGGTGTGCATAAGTTGATTGTTGGGAAAAGATACATCACCTTGGGATAAAGGGTGAGAGTGGGCAAGAAATTGTGGATATCTGAACGTGTGATCGGAAAAACATAGCAATCTGTGGGCAGGAACGCCGCCGTGGAGTTGGGTTTTTGCGACGCGGAGAAGAGAGGGCAGGCGGGAAGACAGCCTCCAGGCCATTTTTGTTTCTCCCTATGCGCAGGTCAAAGTTGATTTCCGTGTTTAAATAGTTCAAATTTGTAATTAGCTTTTAGGGAAGAATGGAATACCATTAAAAGAAGGGCAAATTGCACAACACCCCCTAACAATTTCTATTTTTTGCACTTTACCCCCTAAAAAAAGTGAATGTGCCCCTTTAAAATTTTGTTCTAATTGCAGTTTGCACGAAATAACAATTTCCGGCATATTCTTCGCTGGAATTGCCATTTATCCGTCCTCTTAAATGGCATTTGAGTCATGAAAATAATTTTACGCATAGAGTAACTCTTCTTTCGAGTTTCGGTCTCTTTAAATAAGAGTGCTCCAGTTTTTATGTATCTTATTCTCTCTCCCCGAAGCTTTTTGGTTTTTCTCTCTCTTTAATTCTCTTTCACCGATTCCCCATGGTGAAAGATGGAAGCTCCAAGAACACAAGGTTCATGTTAACCTTTCACTACCCACCGGACAAAGATATCCGTTAAAAAATCTAAGGCAACGAAGCACGTATTAATAACACTAAAAAATTCCCAATGTTATTAATACGTGCGTCGTTGCCTTAAGTACACAAAGCCCACCAATAAGTTCCAACTTGTACATTGGGTAACAGAAAAGGCTCCATATATTTAAATACGAGGGCAAAAAAAATGAATGAGAAATTCAGGACACGTATTCTTCAATGTAATAATGTATATAACAGCTCTATTGAATGAATTTCGATGGCTCAGAAACGAAATGGTTTTAGTTGTATATCTCGGCCTTGTATTTGATTTCAGGGTTTCGAATATCATCTTGACTTTGAATCAAACGAATCTCCAAACTGCTTGACCGGCAATCGTGTCCAGCACTTGTATAGTCATTTATCGTCCTAACGAGAAGTGCCTGTGACAAACAAAAATGATGTTTTCGACTGAGAATAGGAAATATATGGATGAAATAATCAGCACCTTTCACATATATTAAGAAACATAACGAGTGGTATGTATACGGTATACCAACAAAAAGCAACACAAATACCTGCAAGCTTGATACAGACAACTCTGCTGCTTTGCCAAGGTTGTCAGGATATTTCTGAATTTAAAAATGAAAAAGAAAATTAAAAGAATAAGAAATTGTGCATGACGACATGTAAAAGATTGATTAAGGAGTCGATTTAAGGTTTGCCAAGCATTATTACATTGCTCCATCCAAGCAGAAGTGCAGTCATAAGATCCCCTGTTCCCTGCAAATCGAAAATGCATTATAAAAAATTAAAAATAAATAAATAAATAAATCTCATAACAATGTACAATCTTAGGAGGAGGCAAAGTTCAGACAACGACATACCGTAAAATATGCAGGAATCTTGGGGATTGAAATCCGGAACTGCACTGGAGGTTGACCCTGTCATAGTCGAATTTATTCAAATAAGAATGTGAACATATGTAAAGAATTTAACGAGAAACATTCATGAAGACCAGTTCACAGCTAGGAGTTAGTTAAAATACATAAAAGAATTACCGAGCACAAAAATTTACGAGAGTTGTGTATTTCAATACCTTCTCTTTCTGATGGCTGCCAAGTAGAAGAAGATTGCCATCTATATTTATGCTCGTTATAACAACCTGAAATACAATATGTAAATCTTGAACATTTTATAAAGAATATTAACTTGATGGAACAAGATTAAAACTTATTTTGAAGATTTAAAGCACGAGACAAACTTTTGATGGTCCGGCAGAATGAAGAGTGTTGCAAGCTTCTCTCCCATCTTGCTCAGATACAATCCTGACAAATTCACACCAAAAACTCGTAAGAACCAACTTTTTTATGTACTGAGTTGGATAAGATCAATACCATGGGATAGTAAAGATATGTTAGATCAGATTTTACGAGTTGTTATCGATAGAGGAATACCTGAGACCCGTTAACAATTCAGCCTCGAATTGATTTGGAGTCAACATAGAAGCAACAGGTACAACCTATTCAGAAGGGGCAATTACCAATTTTACCAAAATATGAATCTGACGACGGAAGAGCAGTTGTATAAAATATTAAAATTTGTGAATTAAACTTCAATACAGAAAGCCATCTGTTCGTTCAATTAACTAAGCTCAGCAGTTGAACAAAAAAACTGACTTGAACTAAATATCGGTTGTCTTAGCGAAAGAAAAAAATCGACTTCCAAATAGAAAAAAAAATACCTTCTCACGGTATACAGATACCAATTCCTGAGGGACATAGAGTTTTCCTTCATCGCCCAACACTGGATCACAAACTGACAAGAAAGGTTCTGTTAAAAACTATAGCAATAGAGTAAGTTCTCACTTTCAAACAAATTAGGAACGGTAATTTCTGAGCAAAGTTATTAGTCTAAATGACAACATAATCAGATCTTATTAGTATACTTACCATATGTAAGTTCAGGGTTGATAGATCTAAGCTTCGCGACAACTTTAAGAACAGTGTTCAAGAAGGAGACTGAACCAATATAACCTACAATGCACGATGAATTGTGTCACAAGAAAGTCCAAGGTTCAAAAATAAATAAGCATGCATGATTAATATAATAACGATGAAATGAAAAAGGTCAAAAATATTTGATATTATCAAGATTATAATTTCCGTGTCAAAAAACCAGCTTGCTGTTTTAACCTGGCAAATTACGTCCAACTCCCTGAGTTAAGATCAAATTACAAAAAAAACCCTCTTGTTTGGGTAATTAGAACCACCCCCTCCAACTATGTATCGTCTTACGAAAAAACCCCTCCTTCAATAGGTAAGTTTGACACCGTAAGGATGGATGTGTAAAACAATACATAGTTGAGGCGGTGGTTGTAATTACCCAAACAAGAGGA